GAAAGATCAGAAGGAGGAAGTAGGAGTTGAAGGACGAAGGTCAGCAGACAAACAGATGAGAGTCATTAAAGTGTGTTATGAGAAGCAGGTGGAGGAAGCCGAATAATGATCGCTGCAGAATCGATGCTTAAAATCAATGAGGGAGGATCCGACCCCTCCCGCCTCATTCAGCGGGTTAAATAAGGCCGTAAATACGTCCCGAAGCACGTAAACACTCCTCTGTTGACCGCACACCCGCCTCATCTCGTCTCCTGACCCGGCCTGACCTTTTTGTTTGGGGTTTGAGTGTTTGTTAGCTGCTAGGATACTGTGCTGTCAGCCTGGAGACCAGCTGATGAAGAGCAGGAACCACTCCTTCCCCGACTATCATGTCCTCCTTTAAACCACGTCCAGCCTTTCCCATCTATCTTACCGCTGTTTTTGCTTCGTTTACCCTCCAGAAAAACACTCAAGCATCGTCACACATTCTTACCTGGACTCCGAAGCTAAACACCATCTTTTCTCTTTTGCTGAGTTTCTATCATTTAAAGTCCTCTGATTTTTTTTTTTCATATTTCCTGGTGAGTAAATGCTGTCCCTTTGTAAAAATTGGATATTTGTGAAGGCCAACAAGTAAATTTCAAGAAGGGTCCACGTTTAAATCAGAACACGCAATGTAGCTGCTTGAAAATAGGTTACGAAATACACTTGAGACTGTGTTTAGAGATCCATCTGTGAAGTGATGTGGGCGAGACTCCCCCTATAATCACTCGCACTGGATTTGGACTCAAAACAGTAATTATAATTAACCAACGAAGAAAGATGACACAAAGAGAAGAATAACAAACGTGAACTCTGACTTTACACAATGTTGTTTTCGTCTGTTGTCACACATCGAGCTGCCAGAAGCTCACACTTAGCGTGTTTATGAAAAGCATTCACCTCCCTTGGATGATTTTCCTTATAATTGCTTTTCACCACTGCATCAGGGTCAATATAATTTGGCCCTTTTAGCATTAAATTACAAAAACAAAGACTCCTTCATGTCAAAGTGAAAACCAATTCTACACAGTTAAGCAACAATTAGTTCAAAGTAAATAGGGTCGCTGCACAAGTCATCAGTCATGGAAAGTGACTCATCTAATTCATAGCAGGTGCAGCCATTTGGGGCTAGAAATGACAGAGTTAACAAAATGGAGATCATCTGAGTGCACTGAATGTGTCTCAATGATTGTAGTATCAAGACACCTGTAGCTGGAAGGTCTAGTAAGCAGTGAATCAGTAGTCCTGGTTATTGCAACGCCATGAAGACAAAAGCACGCTCCAAGAAGCTCAGTGAAAGGGTTATTTAAATGCACAAGTCAGGGGATGGATGCAAGAAAAGTCACTGAAGATTCTTTGGAGAACAGCTAAATCCATTATGAAGAAACAGAAGAAATGTGGCGCATCTGCCAAGAGCAGGTCATCCCTAAAAACTGAGTGACTGTGCAAGACAGAGACTAGTGAGAGAGGCCACCAAGACACCTATGACTCCTCTGAATGAGCGATATGTTTCAATGGCTGAGTTGGAAGAAACTGTGCAAACAGCCATTGCCTGTTCTTCACCGGTCAAAGTTTTATGGGAGAGTGGTGAAGAGAAAGGTATTGTTGAAAAAAAAACTACTTTTGAAACTCAACTAGAGTTCACTAGAAGGCCTGTGGGAGACTCTGAAGTCAAGTGGAAGAAGGTTCTTTGGTCTAACGGGATCAAAATTTAGCTTTCTTCCCCCACTGGACGGGATGCCATGTTTACCAGACACCAAACACTGCACCTCATCTCCACTGTGAAGCATGGAGGTGGCAGCATCATGATATGGGGAAGCGTCTTGGCAGCATGCCCTGGAAGGCTTTTAAAGGTAGAGGGTGAAATTAATACAGATAATATAGAGAAATCCTGGAGGACAACTTGATGCAGTCTGCAAGAAACCTTGGAGTAGATTTGCTTTCCAACAAGACAATGACCCGCAGCATACGGACAAAGCTACAGAGAAATGATTTAAAGACAACAAGGTGAATGTTCTGGAATGGACCTAAGTCCAACTATAAATATGTGACTAGACCTACTCAGGGCTGTCCACCTACAGACCTCTTACCACCTGTCAGAGCAGTTTTACAAGGAAGAGTCAAGAAAAATTATTAACAATGGTTCATATGCTAAATACTGGCTTGAAGGGGTTGAATACTTTGGAAATCACTTATTTTACATTTCATGTGCTTAATTAATTAATATTACATTTTATAAATCTTTTTTTCACTCTGACATGAAATATTTTTTTTTGTAAATTCTTGTCAATGAAGCCAAAAGCAATAAAAAAGAGAAAACTTCCAAGAGGTGTGAATACTTTTTATAGGCACCTTATCTTTTCTGACACTATATTGGTTTTTACACAACAAATTCTGTTTTCTTTTTATCCATCTTTCAAGCCTCTTGAGCCCAAAATCTGCTGACAGGTTTGAAAAGTATGTTATCTTTTTTGAAAGAACATCACAATAATTCCACCATTTATTGAGTCAGAAACTGTAAAAACAGAAAGAATTGTCAGATTTTCCCCTTCATGATGGTCCTTGAACTACTCATCTTTGACTAACTACCACAATCTCAGCTTTCGGGTGTTGCTCTAACCAGATTTTGTAGGAAAAAAAAGGAATTCTGCACTCAACAATGCAACCGAGATGCCAATAATAACTAAGGCAGTAAAATATCGTGTTTGTTTTCTGCCCTTGTGAAGCATTTTGTAACTTGGACTTTGAAAAGTGTGCAGCAAATAAAGAATTATATTAAGTAGTAGTCATAGTAGTAGTATTTTTGAATTCCTTGCACTCATGAAGGTGGTGTGACAAGAAATGCCGGAAGACTGAAAATTCCAATGAACCAACAAGACAGAAATCAAACGCTGGAGAAGCACTGAGGGTAATTCAGGGTACTTATTTGTGCTCAAGGGGGTCGTTTAAATCAAATGTGAATTACCATCATCACATGACTTTTTAAGCACACTTAACCCCCGGCCCTGGAGCCCGTTTGACCCGACGGTGACCTCCATTGATCTGTGACCTTTTAATGTTAATCTGAGGTCATAAACCAACACTCAAGCCTCGCGGAAGAAGTCCGTTTGAATTGATTTTATCGACGGACCAATGAGAGAAGTGCTTACCGCGGGGCCAGTGTGCGACTGTCCACCTGAACTCTCTGGGATTCCCGATAAAACATCAGTGGCAGTGTGTTAAGAGGAAACTGCTCCTGTCGCTTTGCGTTTAACTCACTTCAGACAGACAGTAAATTAGCAGTAAAGTTAGCGGAGGTTCTCTGCTGCTAAATGCTAACTTAAGCTCTAACAGTTTGCCTGCTGACCTCTTTATGTCCCGCGGGGTGTTTCTCCAGGATCTTCAGGGTGTAATTGGTCCTCTGTCCTTTGCTGTTGAACTCAATGTGACCTGTCAGACCGTCGTACTCCACCTGGTAGGAGACAGAAAGACCAAAAGATGTAGTTAGTTGATCAGACCAGATTCCCTACGCAGTTAGAAAAGTCAATCCAAGGGGCTAATTTAAGTGTCGGGTGTAAGATTACTGCAAAAATCATACAGAAATCTTTACAAGGGATGCGTTGCTGGCCTCAATACCTGCTGTTTTCCTGAAAATTTGTCCCAAATCACTGTAAAGGAAACATGACTAAGAATCCATAAAGCATTATGACACTTGATTTGTTTAACCCTCTGAACCCAGAGCTGTTTCGCTGCTCCTGTCACAGTTTTACTCACTGTGGGCTCAGTCTTTCCTGCACCTCTATGGAGACAGCAAAACCATGACTAGAAGTGGAGAAATGTCATCTGTGCAGCATGATACAGTGAGAGTGGCATAAATCGTTTAAAAAAAAAAAAAAGGAAAAAGAGAGAAAAACTGAATTTCATTGATTTTACATCATGTGACATTTTACAACATGTCATATTTTTCCAAGTGCCCACAGGTGTTAACAATACTGGAAACAACAGTGGCTCTACATAGTATAGATTTTTTAACGACTTGTATTTTTTGTCTGGTCTCTGCTCTGAGTGAACACAGACTGCGGTTTAAATGAAAAGGCCACATATTTTTGTCTAGTAACTGGTGGGGCACAGAATTTTGTTTGCTTTTGATAGTATAAGGTTTGATTAAAATGTTTGTGTGTGTCAAAATTTTACATGAGACATGTGGAATAAAGTGATTCTGATTAAATATTGAAGTGATTTTATCATATCATATCATATCAAATTCAGATTTGGTTAATGTCTTGGGGGAACTGCACATCCCGAATGATACACTGAAGGACTGGTGGAAAGATAAAAATCCAATGATTATTTTGGTTTAGTTCTTACAGTGAATGGCGGTAAATGGTGTCATTTTTGTAAAAAAGAAAAATAAAAAAGATATTATCTTTTTTGAACCCTCTGCGTATTTTTGTGTTGTTTTTCTCTTGTGTACACTGCGTGTGTTTTTCCCCCCCCCCCCCAAAAAAAATCCAGAATCTGCATGACATGACTGTTGGGTGCAGCTGTTTCACTAATGGCTCCACAGTTGTGTTGAAGACTACAGAATCTTTTTTTAATTCCATTTTACAGAATCTGGTGAGAGCATATGACTTATTTTTGGTACGTTTTATGGATAATAATATGATTTTAGAGACAGCCTATGACACATTTTAAGGTAATGGACCGTCAGAAAGTTGAAACTCCAGAAAATCCCTCTGTTTTCATAGTTTCTGACTGATAAATGGAGTAGATTTGTAGACTTAAACTATATATATATATAACATGCCTTCTAAATTTGAGGTTCAGAGGGTTAATGCTGCCTGACCTACCAGCGATCACAAAAACACACACAACACAAGTGCTGCCGTTGATGGTGAGATGCCGTCTGACATCCTGACTCATTTTTGACCAACCCTTGTATAACACAAGACGTTTACAACGGCTGAATCAGAGGCTTCGAGGCGGCCGCAGTTCAAGCTGGCACGAAAAGATAGAGACAATTGTTGATTCAGAGATGCTAAGGAAGAGTAAAAAGCAAAAAATACACCCACCCACACACGCAGACACACACAAAAGATTCATATTGGAAGTCGAAACCGAGAAAACAGACAGACAGTTCATCAGATCAGTGACAGAGCTGCTGCCGCTGCTGCTGGTGGGTGTGCGTTCGCCGGAATGTGCAAATAAGTGTGAGGCCTGTGTGATGCATGTGCACTCAAGCATGCATTTTGTTCCCGAGTTTATGTGCAATCGAGTGCACATACAGTACGGGCGAGCGGGAGTGTGTGTGTGTGTCGGCATGACTCAAGATGAATTACATCCCAAAAACAGTGAGGCGAGAGAGACGGGGAGAGGGAGAGAGGTCTCTGGTTGCTGCCAAACACACTGTACGGATGATGAAGTGATGCACTGAGAGCAAGCAAAACAATATGGAGGGAGAGGAGGGAGAGGAGGGAGAGGAGGCATCCTCAGCGGATGGAAGAAACGAGAAGTGGCAGCCGGACAAAAACAGGGGGAAGAGGAGGATGAGAATAAATCAAATAACATGGAAATGAAAGAGGAAACAAGGAGGAAGAAAGGGAAGGCTGCCAGAGAAATAAAAAACCCTGCAGCGACTCACCATGAGAAAAAAGTCTTCAAAAATAAAATATAAGATGCAGCATTGAGTGGGCCCGATGGGAGCGGGCCTTGTTTTCTAAATGACTGTTCAAATTTCTCATTGGAAAATCAATCACACACACGGACACGAAACTACAACAAGCAGATGCCAAATGACCACAAATGTTGCCGAACAAAACAAGGTGACCTCTGAATGCGTGCGGACCCGTGAGTAACGTTAGCAACACGCGCCGTTCAGACGGGGCAGTCAGGGCGATTTTAAAAATGGCCTGCCCTGGTCAGTGATTTGAATCTAATTACCACTCCCTCCCCAGGAACAATTACAGCTGTCTCACCCCCCCTCCAAACCTGTCTCACCCCTCGGCTTCACATTTGAGTTCCCTTTTCTGTCATTTTTCAAAACACAAGGTAGTTCAATGGTCCTATAAAAACCTGTGAACATCAGAAATAAACCGATTCCAGATGTTCTGTGAAAAGCATAAGTCAAGGGACGGATGCAAGGGATTTTCAAAGTCACTCAATGTGCCTTTGAGTACAGTTAAATCCATCGT